CCAATATTATATCAAGTTTAAATTTTCACTATATACATTAAATTTTTGACACTTTTTTTTTTTAATCAGCAAACAAAAGAAGATTATATATAATGAACATAAATACATAAGGATTATATATAAATTTTTTGACACTTTAATAAGTATTTTTTTGAATACATAAAATTTTGGTACCTTAATGACCACATATAGAAAACCATCAACCATGCATGCATAACCCTTTAAAATGAAAATAATTATGCAAAGAACAAATCTAAAACCCTAAAACTAATATTGGGTGTTAAGAGGGTACCTCAGTGGCATCACTTCCGTCACCTTTAGCTCCAAAAGCATCCACACTAACTGTTTTAGCTGAAGCTAAAACCCTACCCTCTTTACCAATACCATTTTCATGGTTGATAGAGCTCTCAAATTCATTTTTGTCTTCAATGGTGGTGCTGATATATGAAGGGTCTGCTTGAAACCCATAACCATAAGCTTGAACATGATTATTATGATGTGGGTCCCCATGAAGAGAGGTAAAATGACCTGAAACCAAATAGAGAAAGATGATAGATACAGAAATAGATAGAGATATGCTTTGTAGTGCCATTGTATGGTATAGAATAAGATATATGCTTGTTTTGGAAGATGAATTGTTGTAAGGGTATGAGTTTGTCATGCATGGTGTGTTGCATATTTATAGACGAAAGAAAGAAGAAAAAAAAAGGTGGTGAACGGGGTTGTACTTTGGTAGGGGTCCAGTTTAGTAGTGTTTTACATGACTCCTGTGAGGTATGGGCTAAGGGGCTATATACGGCTATATAGGATGTGAGAGATTTAGACGAAAGGAACTCTATGCGTTGGCTGCTGACTTTTGCCTTATAGATGTGTGTATATATGTATATAACGGTGAGTATAAATGCGATACGTTTGTAATTTCATAACTATATTTTTAAATAATTTGATGATTGAGATGTGATTTGATGAATGATGGACAATTGATAACGAATTTATTGGTTGTGATAATTATTAAGGTCTGGCTTGATAATTGACTACTTTATTTAATTTTTTAATTTTTTACAAAAAAAAAAAACATATAAGAAAAAATAAAGAGAATGATGATATAATATATGATAACTTTTTGATTAAAAACCTATCATCTTAAACAAGGCCTAAATATGATAGGTGATAAGAGTATAAGTTCAAATGACAACATGCATTCTTAAGATGAAGAACAGTTGCTAAGGCCACAGCTGTAGCAACAAATGCAGCTCTTCAAGACAGGTGTATGCCAGTGTATGGCATAAGGAATATGTTAGAGAGAAGAGGTTCATGTAGTGAGAGAAATGTAGGAGTTGGTTAGATTCAGTTAGTTAGATATAGTTAGTTAAGAGTTTGTTATAACAAACTCTTAACCACTGGTATAAATACTTGTAATCAAGATATTTTGGGATAATAAAATAAATCATTCAGTTTCTTTTCATGGTATTAGAGCCCTGAACTCTCACGGGCACCAAAGTGCTTCAATGGCAAATCCTTTTTCTTCTATCTCTGTTTCTCCATGCATTGCACAGCACCTAAATCTTCTACTTTCAAACTTTAATTCCTTGGTAACTGTAAAATTAGATTCTACAATTTTTTTTGATTTGGAAGAATCAAGTTCAAAATATCTTACGAGCAACTGATCTTCTTGAGTTTGTTCTTAGATTGGTTTCTTGTCCAATCTCTGAAATCCTTGATTCATCTGGAAAAGCTACAGTCAATCTAGAATTTCTTCAATGGAAGATGATGGATGCACATCTACTCAGTTTCCTCACTACTACACTATCATCTAGTGTATATGCTTCAGTGCTTCAATATCAATGTTGCTTTGAAGTTTGGCTTGCTTTGGAAAAGCGATACACTTTTCTATCTCGTTCGCATATTCATCAATTGAAGAATAAGTTGCAGTCTGTTACGAAAAAAGGTTTCACCATGAGTGAATATCTGACTCAAATCAAAGAGATCTCAAATCAGCTTCGACTTGCTTCATCAATGATTGATGATAAAGATCTTGTGCTCTTAACTTTGAATAGCATACCAAAGGAGTATGATGCTCTCAAAACAACCGTACGTGCTCGAGTGGAATCCATTACAATGGATGATCTGTGTTCACTCTTAAGTTCTGAAGAAATTCATATTGAGAATAAAGCTAAAATTATCACATTTCACAAATCCTCAAGGTTACAGAGGTCGTAGTTAATTTTGTGGTTATAGAGGAGGTCGAAATAGAGGTGGAAGGTTTAATAATAGGCCTAATAGAGGCAGATACGGAAGAAATAACTATCATTCAAACAGTAATGGTTGTCAGATCTATGGAGGTTATAATCATAGTGCCTTTGATTGTTGGTGGTGAATGGATCCTAATTTTCAACCTCTACATTCAAATCCTTTCTTACAATCCTCTCCTAATGCTGTGTCTCAACCAAGAGCTTATTCAGTCACAAGTGCTCAATCCTCTTCTTCATCTGCTTCTCTCACTCCTTGGTACATTGATTCCACAACCACAAATCACATTACCAATGATCTCACCAATCTTCAACTCTATCAATCATATCAAGGTCAAGATCAGGTCACTGTAGGTAATAGACAAATTGTTCCTATACAGCACATTGGTAAGGGTTTGTTACCAACTCCTCACTACTCTTTGAAACTTAATCATCTTCTTCATATTCCACATATTGCTTCAAATCTACTTTCTGTTCATCAATTAGCCAAAGATAATAATTGTTCAGTTACTTTTGATGCTGATTCATTTTTTATTTAGGACAAACATACAAGCCAAATACTGCATAAAGGATCTAATGTGAATGATCTGTATCACTTTGATGTCTCCACACCTGCATCTTCACCTCAGGCTCATCTCACTCAATCACAAGTTTCATTACCTGTTTGGCATCAACGACTTGGTCATAAATCTCCTTTAAAATTTCATCATGTTGCTAAGCATCTCTCTACTGTTTTTAGGAATAAGGAATACTAGAACTTTGTTTGTACTCCATGTAGTGTTGCTAAGGTCCACTGATTGCCTTTCAAATTGTCAAGTATTACTGTTAAACAACCTTTTTCCCTTATTCACAATGATGTGTGGGGACCTTTTAATCCTTCTATTTCTTGTTATAAATACTACTTGTTGTTTGTTGATGATTTTTACCAAATTTACATGGATCTATCCTCTTAATGTGTAAGAGTGCAGTGTTTTCTACTTTCTTACACTTCAAATCTTATGTTGAAACTCAGTTTTCTATTTCATTACAAGTTTTAAGAACAGATAATGAGACTAAATTTGTTAACAATCAAACACATGATTATCTTGTTGCTAATGGTATTCTTCATCATCCTACTTGTCCATATACTCTTGAGCAAAATGGAGTGGCTGAGAGAAAACATCAACACATCACTGAGACTGCTATTGCTTTGTTGTATTAATCATCGGTTCCTCTTCAGTTTTGGTTTGAGGCTATGGCTACTACAGTCTTTATCATCAATAGATTGCCTAGTTTGTCTCTTGGTCATAAGTCTCTTTTTGAGTTGCTTTTTAAAACCTTACCTGATTATACCTTTCTTAAAGTCTTTGGTTGTCAATGTTTTCCATGGCTTAGGCCTTATGCAGTTCACAAATTGGCTCTAAGGTCTGTCCCTTGTGTGTTCATAGGCTACCACTCTACTGTCAAAGGCTACAGGTGTTTGGATCCTATCTCAGGAAAGATTTTCCTCTCTAGACATGTTACTTTCAATGAAACTTGTTTTCCCTATGCTGCTAATTCGTCCTACTCTTCTAGCTTGTCTACCATTCAATCTTTCTTTCAAATCCCTTCTACTTCTGCTGACCCTATTTCTCATATTCTTCCTAGCTCTTCTCTTATTCCTTCTTTTCCTTCTCCTGTTCCCATTCCATCAGTGTCAGTTCCCTCTATATCTGTGCCTTCTATTGACTTACCTACTGTTATTCATGTTTCCTCACCACCATCTACATCTATTTGTCTATCTCCACCTTCTGTCCCTGCAGCTCCTATCAGTCCTCCTCCTGCCTCTCCTATCCCTAGTTCTCCTATTCCTATTCAATCAATTGCTATTCATCTTCCTAAGCTCCTTTATGTGCCTACCCTTAACACACATCCTATGATCACTTGATCCAAAGCCTGTCATCTTACTACTTCCTCTCATCTTGATCCCTCTACTACTGAGCTTACATCTTCTGTTTAGGCTTTCTTTTCTCCTCCATGAATGCAGAATTTTAGGCCCCTCAACAGCAAGGTACCTGGACATTAGTTTCCTTACCTCCTCATAAAACTGCTATAGGCTGCAAGTGGGTTTTTTGAATTAGGAAGAATTCTGATGGTACTATTGCTCGATACAAGGCTAAATTGGTGACCAAAGGTTTTCTTCAGCAAAAATGAGTGGACTATCAAGAAACCTTTAGTCCAGTTGCTAAGAAGCCAACTATCCGAATCTTGTTATGCCTTATGCTGCAACAGAATTAGGTTATTAAGCAATTGGATATCTCTAATGCCCTTTTCCATGGGAAATTAGAAAAAGAAGTCTACATGGTTCAGCCTCCAGGGTTTATCAATGCTGTTTCTCCTACTCATGTTTGCAAACTCCACAAAGCCTTGTATGGCCTTAAACAAGGTCCTCGAGCTTGGTATTCCACATTTTCTACATTCTTACTTATTCAAGGTTTTCATCATAGTCATTCTGACTCCTCTTTGTTCAGCAGACAAACCTCTACCCATCTCACCATATTACTTATCTATGTGCATGATATTTTGGTTATTGGTAGTGACTCTTCTGCCATTGAGTCTTTGATCACTCACATGCATATTGCTTTTTCTATGAAAGAATTAGGCCCTATTTTCTATTTTCTTGGCATTTCAATTCACTCCACCTCTTAGGGTTATTTTCTTTCCCAACAAAAGTATGCTAGTGAATTACTTCATAAGGCTGGTATGGTGGATTGTAAACCTTGCTCTACACCTATGACTATTAAGTCTTCCCTTTCAACTTCGGATGATTTACCTTGTTCTCAGCCTGCTTTCTACAGAAATTTAGTTGGTGGCCTTCAATATTTGACTATCACTAGACCAGATCTTGTTTTGGCTGTTAACTATGCCTGCCAGCATATGCAAGCACCCATAGTTGCTCATTTTGCTCTAGTTAAAAGACTGCTCTGTTATGTAAAAGGCATACTCTCTCATGGTCTTCAATTTAGTCCAGGTCTCTTCCATCTTCATGCCTTTACTGATGCCAATTGGGTTGGTGATTCTTTCGATCGCTGGTCCACTTCCGGGTTTTGTGTGTTTTTGGGACCAAATTTAATCTCATGGTCTGCTAAAAAGCAATCTACAGCCTCTCGCTCCTCTACAGAGGTAGAGTACAAGTCCATGGCTTCCACCACTACTGAACTTGTGTGGTTGCAGCAATTGCTTAAGGATCTTTATGTTCGCTCTCCTTCTCCTCTTGTCTTATGGTGTGACAACATCTCTACCATGGCCTTAGCTTCAAATCCAATTTTTCACTCTCGCTCGAAGTATATTGAAGTGAACTGTCATTATATTCACGAGCGTTTCCAAACAAATTCAACTTGCTTACATTCTCACTACTGATTAACTCACAGATATCGTTACTAAGCCTTTAACTTCATCTCGCTTTCATTATCTCAAAGACAAACTTATGGTGCTTCCACGCCTCATCTGTTTATGGGGAAATGATAAGAGTATAAGTTCAAATGACAACATGCAGTCTCAATATGAAGAACAGCTGCCAAGGTCATAGCTGCAGCAACAGATGCAGCTCTCTCAACACAGGTGTATGCTAGTGTATGGCATAAGGAATACATTAGAGAGAAGAGGTTCATGTAGTAAGAGAAATGTAGGAGCTGGTTAGATTCAGTTAGTCAGATATAGTTAGTTAAGAGTTTGTTATAACAAACTCTTAACCACTTGCATAAATACTTGTAATCAAGATATTTTGGGATAATAAAACAAATCATTCAATTTCTTTTCAACAGGCAATATTGAAAAGAAAAAAATAAAATAAAATAGAGAAGAAGTGACATTACGTCAACTTAAGTGTAAATAGAATAGATGAACATACAAGCATGGGTATAGAACTATATAAACACATTTGTTGATTTTGTCTTGATTCTTATCTAGAAAATCAAAGATGGCATGCACATTTGTTGTCAATTTCTTATTTTTATAAAAAAAAAAATTAACATTTTTTTAAAAGAAAAAAACATGTTTTTCTTGTACTTTTTTTTTTAAAGCAAAAACAAAAGCAAAAAATATGTTAGTATGTTTTAGAACCAACAATACTACAAGCCTAAAAATTTGAAGTTTGTCCAGAAAATTTAATGTGCAATTCAAATTTATTTTAGATGTATACCGGTTACGAGTTTAATCTGGACCATATAGCAACTTTCTAGGTAAAATTCTAGACTTGAATTCTCGTCCTTAACTTTTCTTAATCAGAACATTGAAAAACAAAAATTAGTAGATTGGGGGTGGATCCTTTCCTATGAGTTGGATTAAATCTGACTGGCATCCGATTATCTTGAGACCGAAGCCCACAGATGCTATTTAATCCTTATAGTTCTAATTACATCATTTGTATCTTTGAATTTTTTACTTTGTGTTAATTTTGACCAATTGATTCATTGCGAGGTTGGCATCTAATTCGAAATGGTTCAATGATCTAGGTTTGGGACTTAAGAGTTTGCTCCTATGTAAGTCTAAAGTTTGAAATCTCTTAAGCCCTGTTTGTTTACCGGATATAAAGGTTGGATATAGGTGTGTGACAGGACATAATATGAGGTGGGTCTGACATTTTTTTTGTCTCCATATATCTCGTGTTTGGTTGCTCCGAATATGAGAACTCCGGATAGTATATGACACAAAAATGAGCGATATACAATACCACCCCCATGGTATTGTATATCCCTCATTGTCAGGTATAGCTCATCTTTCATCCAAAAGTCAAAAATAATTACTTCTCTTATTCCATCCTATATCCTATCTTAATCAAATAGAGTATAAGTGACCTCACAATATATATAATCCATCTCATATCCTATAACATATTATATTTTATCCTTATCCTTGGGTATTATATATCCTCTTCAAACTCTTATATCCAATAGAGACAATCAAATGGGGCCTTAGTGTTATCAATCCTTGTGTTAGGCTAATCCATACAGAGTTCTACTCTGGTTTTAATTGAGCCTCACGCTAGTGGATGGTGGGATTAGTCTCCTAGGGATTAGTTGAGGTGTGCACAAGCTGACCCAGACACCCTGATTCATAAAAAAAAAGAAGGGAGACTTACATGCAAGTCTTAATTGGTGAACTTATTATCCAATAGGTCATATGATAATTAATAACATTTTTCACCAAATACTATTAAAAAATATCACTAATTGTTAATTTTCAGCGACAGTTTGAAAATTTTGTCCAAAAAATGTCACTAATTATAAGTTTTAGTGATAATTTTAAAAAAGATATCATAAAAAAGTCACTAGTTTTCAACTTTCAACAACAGTTTGAAAAATTTGTCATGAAAAATGCTACTAATTGTAAGTTTTAGCTACAATTTATAAAAATTGTAAAAAAAAATCATTAATTGTTAATTTTTAACGACATATGCAAAAAAATCGTCACAAAATATTATTTTTGACGACGATTTTACTAAAATTTATTTTCAATAGAACTTAATGGGAATTAAGTCCAACTATTAGGACCTATTGGTAGTTTACTCAAAAAAAGATCTATGTAGCCTTTGATTTTTATAAATGGACTATAAAAATCCAGACTGAATTGGACTATAAATGGGGATATAAATATTAGATTTTTTTATGTTTTTGCCAATGCCAGACAGAGCAAGAATATGATAAACTCTATTGAAGTTAATGGGGTGTCTTATGAGGATCCTAGCAGGGTTAAATTTGAGGTCAATGAACACTTCAAGAAACAGACCTGTCTTAGGAGGGGTATTCAAGACCATAGAGGCAGATTATGTTTCTTACCACTTGGTCTCAGAATTCAATGAAGCTGAGATATTGGCTACAATTAAAGATTGTAATAGCAACAAAGCTCCTGGCCCTGATGGGTTTAACTTGTTGTGCTATCAGAAATTTTGGAAGGTCATGAAACCTGAGATCATGCAATTTTTTGCAGACTTCCACAAGAACAGCAAACTGACCTATGGCATCAATAGCACTTTTATTAGTTTAATTCCCAAAGTGGAAAATCCCACTGGCCTATCTGAATTCAGGCCTATCAGCCTTGTAAGTTCTCTCTACAAAATTCTGGCCAAGGTATTAACACATAGGCTGAAGCCAGCTTTACCCTCAATCATTGGTGAAACTCAAACTACTTTCATAGGAGGGAGGAACATCTTAGATGGGGTGTTCATTGCCAATGAAGTGGTGGATGGATGGAAGAAATTCAAGAAGCATGGTCTGATTTTAAAGCTAGACTTCGAGAAAGCCTTTGATTCAGTTAACTGGGAATTCCTATTCTCTCTGATGTCCAACTTTGGGTTTGGGATTAAATGGATTTCTTGGATGAAAACTTGTGTTTCTACAGTCAGAATCTCCATTCTTGTGAATGGTTCACCAACTAGCGAATTCTCTCCACAAAGAGGTCTTAGGCAGGGTGACCCGCTCTCACCTTTTCTATTCAATATAGTTTCTGAAGGTTTAAACATACTTTTGGGCAAAACAATTAATCTTGGCTTACTTAAAGGAGTGCATGTTGGGTCTAAGGATGTTCTTTTGTCTCATCTGCAATTTGCAGATGATTCAATTCTCTTCTCTGAAGCAGATTGGGATCAGTTGGTGCTTATTAAAAGAATTCTAAGATGTTTCGAAGTATTATCTGGTCTTAGAATAAATTACCATAAAAGTATGGTGTGTGGTGTTGGTGTGGAAGATGCTCTTTTGCTCTCTTTTGCTATTCTCAACTGTCAAGTTCATAGCTTACCTCTAAGATTTCTGGGTCTGCCTCTTGAGCCAACCCTGGGAAAAAATCTATATGGAAACCTGTGCTTGACAAGATCAGATTCAGACTTTCAGGGTGGAAAAGAAAATTGATGTCCTTTGCTGTTAGACTAACTCTAATCAAGTCTACCTTATCTAGTCTACCAGTATATTTTCTCTCTTTATTTAAGATGCCAGAAGGTGTGGCTAGAGAATTTGAGAGAATTGAAGCAGCCTTTTTATGGGGTGGGAATGGCCTAAAAAGGAAAGTTCATTTAGTAAAATGGGGGGAGGCAACAAAAAGCATTGAACAAGGGGGTCTAGGCATTAGAAGAATCAAAGATATAAATGCTTGTCTATTGTTCAAATGGTGGTGGAAATTTGGAACTCAAATTAATTCACTTTGGAGGAGAGGCTTGTTGAAATTCACCAGTAAGATTGTCTGGAAGAATAAAATCAAGTCAGTAGAATTTGTGCGCAGGATTGGTATTTTAGAACCTTCTATCTCCATCAGTTGCACCTTCTGTAGCTTTGAATCTGAATCTGCTACCCATCTATTGCTCCATTGCCCTTTTTCTTGGCAAATTTGGTCTTCTATAATTCATGATTGGGGGCTCTCTTGGTGCATTCAGGATTCAGTAGATGGCCTTCTCCAATGGTGGATGAGTGTCAAATTTAAGCATTTTGATAGGTTAATTTGGAGAGCTATCCCACACATTGTCCTTTGGTCGCTTTGGAAACATAGGAACGAATGTATTTTTGCAGGCTCTACCTAACTTTTCTGAAATAAGTGATTCTATCAAAATTAGATCAGCTCTCTAGCTAAAAGCATCTATTAAGGACCTTCCCTACTTAGTTGCTGACTTAATATTCAATTGGAGACAAATCAGAGATGGGTTTCCTAATCAGTAATTGGACTAGTTTTGGTTTACGCTGTTATGTTATGGGTCTGCTTGTGGTTGGCACTGGTTCTGCTATGCCTTTGGTTTTGCCCTGGCTTTTGCTGCTATGTAACATTGGATTGCCATCAGTGGAAGTGTATGTTCTTACTGGTCTGCAACTGAATTGCTCTGCTACTAGTGCTGAAGATAGTCATCTGTTCTGCTGTTACTACGTTTTGTTATCTATTCTGTAGTTTAGTTCTCAACTCTGGTATAGATTGGGTGGAAGTTTGTTGCTCTGAGATCCAAATAGTCTAAAGGCACTTTAAAGGTTGATTTCAGCTATAGTAACCAACTGTTACATATAGATCGGTAGAACTATACCTCTGCTGTTTGGGTGCTTCTCAGTGAAGTTCAGTGGTGCTAAGGTTGGTGATGAAGGGTTGATGCTCTCAGTACGGTGATGCTGCTTCTTATCTGTTTCTGGGGTTCTTTCTGGTTAAGCTCATTTTCAATTTTTGGCTGCTTCATTGGCTGATTCATGGCTCTGAATGCTTTATTTGGATGCTTCTGTGTGTGTTGCTCTCAAGTTTGTGATGGTTTGGATTGGTTTTGTTCAGTTTTGGTGCTGAGTTGTGCTGGAACTAGGGTGTAGTCTGAGTTGCTCTCTTCTTCTTTTTTTGTTTGTTGGTTTCTCACCAACTGGAGCTTATTTATGTTCTGTATCTTTTTTTTTTTGATCGGCAAAAAAGAATCTCTATTGATGAAAACATGCAAATAAGATACAGAACATCAATAAAGAGGATCTTGGAGCTAATTGAAGCTCCAAGCTCCAGTTGGTGAGAAACCAACAAACAAAAATAAGAACAAGAAAAGCGTAACAGATCAGCAACCATGCGAACAAGGTGGTGAGAATT